GGAATGGAATGGAATGGAATGGAATGGAATGGAATGGAATGGAATGGGATGGGATAGAACAAAATAGAATAGAATTATAGAATAGAATAGAATTACAGAATAGAATAGAATAGAATTACAGAAGAGAAGAAAGAAAGGAAAGGAAGAATGGAGGGATGAAAGGAAAAGGGTGTAGGGGAAGGAAGGGGAGGGAAGAAAAGGGAAAAGAGGAAGGAAAGAGGGAAGAGAAGGAAAGGAAAAAGGGAAGGTGGAAGAGGGAAGTGAAAGGGAAGGGAAGAGGGAAAGGGAAGAAAGGAAGGGATGAAAGGAAAGGATAGGAAATTTTTTTTTTCTCATGTTCACGTAATGTTTTCCCCCGTGAAAACACCTTGGAAGAAAAGAATTGGTACCCCCCAGCTCCAAAGGACTACAATTCCCATCACTCCCAGAGAGTGGCAGCGATGGGCATCATCAGCTGACTTGACAGAAAGCTACCCATGCCAACCAACTGCGCAGAATTTGAGAAAGGAATCTTCCTATACTGAGTTCAAACCTTTTGCATCCTCCCCCCGCTCACAAAAAATAACATTAAGATTCTAGTCCTCATGGTTTGGATCAGAGGCGGGGCTAGCCAAAGCTTTTTCCAGGGTTTCGAGCAAAGGCTGAAAAAAATGGGAATAAAAACCGGGTATTGTCACTAAAGAGTTTGTCTTTTCTGAATCTTTGCAGACCGGCTTGGTTCTTAACTCTGGCCTATTTTTGGACTCCTGGATGAGGTTTAAGAACGGAAGCCCTGCAAGACTTTTTTTTTAAAAAAATCATCCCAAAGTCATCACTAAAGATTTTCAACAAGAGATTGAACTGCCAATTGTCAGAAATGGTGTAGGATCTCCTGCTTGGGCGGCGGGGGGGGGGGGGGGTTGGACTAGATGACCTACAAGGTCCCTCCCAACTCTGTTTATCTGTTATCTGTTAAATCCATGCTTGCATTTAGAAACGTAGCAGCTCAAGGATCAACAACAGGATTTCTACATGAAAGGAGTTTTCCTTTTTCTTTTAAACTAGCTTGATACCCGTGCTTCGCTATGAAACTCTGTGGTCGGGCTTAGTTTTGGGGGAGGAAAATAAGGTTAAAAAAAAATTCTGCCTGTGCCTAACCAGCATCCATCGATATTCATCCGGCTAGCGTCCTGTCGGCGTGTGAGAGAATTGAGGGCTGTTTGGAAACTGAAACAGTATTTGCTGTGCGAGCAAGAAGGAGACAGCAAGGAGCCTGGGCGTGGCTTAGCTCAACTGTTCTGTACTAAAGCTGTGAAACTAAAACTAAAACTGAAACTCCTCTCCTCTGCTTGTGTTTTGCATTTGGAAGAGATTTCTTTTCAGGTGGGGAGGGGAAGTAGAACTCCTTAGCATCAGAGCGTGTTAATAATAATAATAATAATAATAATAATAATAATAATAATAATAATAATAATAATATAGGAAATATTCATGCTCTAATGGTCATTTTGAAAAATCCTTTCTTAGTGCGCACCTAGAAGCCAAGAGGAACATATGGGCTGAATTTTAAGTTTGTAAGCTTTACAGTTCTGGAGATTTTGTGATGATGCATGAGTGGTATTTCACATATATATATAAAATAGAAGATAGATTTGTCGGGAGAGGTCATCACCGCCGTAAACTGATCGAACAGCTAGGTTAACCTTGCAAGGTGTGGTTGTGTCAGTGGGGACTTAAGATCCAATACCTCACCTTGCCTTCCAGAATCTCAACATCCATCCACCCAAGGAAAAAAAAAAATGCAACCCCCCCCCCCCATGTCTGGCTTATTTGCCTTTCAACCGAAGCCTTCTGCAAAAGGACTGGAATTGTAATTTTTTTTTGGGGGGGGGGGGAGGATACAGAAGGGGTCCCATAGCCTAACCCTAACCCTCCCTCCCCAATGCACCCCTCCTTCCCTCCCCAAAATAGACCTCCTTTCGAACCACCCTTTGCAAAAGAGAGCAGGGGAGAGAGTGAGCCCCATGCTCCTCGGCCTTTCTCCTCCCCTCCCTTGCCGGGGAGGGGGAGGGCGGTTGCAAAAACACAGGTCCAGCAATGACAAAGCAGAGATGGAGAATGGGTGGAGAACCAGCTGCAGGGTCCCGTCCCCCCCGGCTGCAGAAAGCTCAGGGATGGGCCCAGACAGACAGGCAGACAAGTCCAAACAGACACCTCCCTCTTCCTTCCTTTGGGGACAGCTTGGATCCATTATCCCTGCCATCCGATACCCTTCTGGTCCAGCCACTGCTGCATCCTTGCCTTAAAAGCATCCTTCCTTACCTTCTGGTCTTCCATCTCCTGGGCTGGCCTGGAAAGCGACTGAGCTTCCGGGTGGGGTGTGTTTGTGGGGAGGAGTCCCAAAAGCTTCTCTGGCCCCCTCCAGCAGCTCCTGGGTGGGCCTTTGGGGAGGAAGGAAGAAAGGGGCCCTAATTCCTCTCTTTCCCCCACCCCCCCACTCCTCACTCTCTCCCTCCCTTCCCTGGAATTAACAAAGCTGTTGGGAGCTGTTGAACTCCACAAGCTCTCTGGTCTGCGCAGCTGCAGAGGAATGCTGGGTAATGTAGTCCAGCAGAGAGTGGTGGGGGGGGGGAGGGAGAGAAGGGGAGTGGGGAAACCCTACAAGAGCAAACAAAGGATTTGGCATGTTGAGCCCAAAAAAAATCAAAGCTTTAACAATATATATCTGGGTTTCTCTCTTGTCTGGCTAACACCCCCCCACCCCTCCCCCAATGTCAGGATTCCAAACTTGGTTTGAATCAGAATTAGAATAGAGCTGGAAGGGACCTTCAAGGTCTTCTAGTCGAGCCCCCTGTTCAAACAGGATATCCTATAGTATACAGTTTCAAACAAGTGACTGTCCAGTCTCTTCTTAAAACACTACTAACTAGTTTATTACACTACTAACTAGAGCATACATTTGCCAGACCAATACTTGAATACAGCTCATCAGTCTGCAACCCACATTACATATTTGATATTAGCACAGTTGAGAAAATCCAGAAATATTTCCACAAGAAGAGTTCTCCACTCCTCTACTCGTTGCAGAAGACCTTATGCCACCAGACTCGAAATTCTAGACCTAGAAAATCTAGAACTACGTCGCCTTCGGTCCGATCTAAGTATAGTATATAAAATCATACATTGCAACGTCCTACCTGTCAATGAATACTTCAGCTTCAACCATAACAACACAAGAGCAAACAATAGATACAAACTCAAGGTTAACCGCACCAAACTTGATTGCAGGAAATACGACTTCAGCAACAGAGCGGTCAATGTCTGGAATACTCTACTGACTCTGCGTTTTCTTCCCCAAACCCCAAAAACTTTAACCTTAGACTGTCTACTATTGACCTCACCCCTTTCCTAAGAGGTCTGTAGGGGGTCTGCATAAGCGCACCAACGTGCCTACCGTCCCTGTCCTATTGTTTCTTTTATATATTTTATATATCTTTTTATTTTTCTTATATATATCCATCACTATGTTTTACTTAGATCTATTATCTTGTAAGCAATTGACAAACCAAATAAATAGATTAAATAAATAAAAATCCTCCAGTGATACAGCACCCACGATTTCTGATGGCAAAACAAGCCATTAAGTAATTGTTCTCATTGTTTGGAAAATTCTCCTTAATTCCAGGTTGCTTTTCTCCTTGATTAGTTTCCATGCATTATTTCTTGCCTGCTGGTGCTTTGGAAAATAAATGGACCCCCCTCCTCAAGTACTGGAAGACTGCTAACATGCCACCCCCAGTCCTTCATTTCTCTAGACTTAGCCAAACCCAAATCCTGCAACCGTTCTTTGCATGTTTTAGCCTCCGGGCCTTTAATCATCTTAGTTGCTCTTCTCTGAACTTTTTTTTAAAAGATTTTTATTTTATTTTAACATAACATTTTAACATTTATTTTTTTTATTTAAACATAAACACAAACACAAAACATCCAATAGAACCATCTTTCCGTTCTACGGTGTGTCGGCTGGTACATATCTCTTGTGCACAATATTAACCGTCTTAAACTTAAATTAAAATTCATCTGATGTAAATCAGCTATCCATATCATATCATGTTGCTATCAAACCATTGTTAGACTTTGATTGTAGGTTCGTATCATCCTTTTCGAGCGAATCGCCACTTTTACAACATCTAGTTCATGATATCATTCATTTCACAATAATCAAATATAACATATCATTACAATGTATCATCATTACTATAATATTGTATCTATGCTATAGTATATTTTATTTCTCTTTTCTTATCTAGCCATTGATAAAATAAATCCCATATTTTATAATATTCTTTTTCTTCTTGCTCTCTAAATTGCCAATGTGAATCTGCACATTTCTGCACATTCCATTTTTTTAAAAAATCACCTCTTCTTCTATCAGTTTTTTTTTCACTTTTCCAATTTTGAGCAAACGTGCTCTGCACTTTTTGTTTGTTTAATCTGGGTTACTTTTTTCTCCTATTATGACTTTTGGTGTGGGAAAACCCAGGTCTTTTATTTAATGGAGGGTTCATAGAATCAGAGGACCATAGGGCTGCAAGGGACTTTGAAGGTCTTCTAGTCCAACCCCGCCCCCCTATTCAAAGCAGGAGCCCTTATACCACCCTGGATAAAATATTGTCCGATCTTTACTTGAAAAACTCCAGCCCTCAGTAATAACCCTCCACAATGAGTTGATTTTTTAACTTGGTTTGGCTGGTGCTGCGAACGGTTTGGCTCCATTTGCTAAACAGGGATGGGGAGTTTGCTGTGTGAACTCAGGTTAGTTTGTGATGTCTCAAATGACGTGGATTGTCTAAGGAGCGAGATTGAATTCATCCTGGCAACCTGCGGATAACAAAAAATTAAAATTAAAACATCTCTTTGCCTCTGGAATGAGGAGTTTCCTGTGCAGAAATTTCGGTATTCAGTCGTCCAGTATTTGAGGGGTTGCCCCAAAGAACAGGGGGTCAATTTATTTTCCAAAGCACCAGAAGGCAGGAGAAGAAGCAATGGGTGGCAACTAATCAAGGGGAGAGGAAGCAAACTGGAATTAAGGAGAAACTTTCTAACCGTGAGGATAATTTGCCTCCAGAAATTGTGGGTGCTGTTTCCTTCCTTCCTTCCTTCATTCTTTCCTTCCCTTTCCCTCCTTCCTTCCTCCTTCCTTCCTTCCTTCTTTTTCTTTCTTTCCTTCTCTTCTTCCCTTCCCTCCATCTTTCTTCCTTCTTTCTTTCTTTCCTTCTTTCCTTCCCTTCCCCTTCCTTCGTTCCTTCCTTCTTTTCTTCTCTTCTTCCCCTTCCCCTTCCTTCCTTCCTTCCTTCCTTCTTTCCTTCCTTCCTTCCTTCCCCTTCTTTCTTTCTTTCTTCCTTCCTTCCTTCCTTCCTTCCTTCCTTCCTTCCTTCTTTCTTCCTTCCTTTCTTTCTTTACCTCCCTCCCTCCCTTCCTTCCTCCCTCCTGTTCCACTCCTGATTTCTCCTCCTCTTTCTTTCTTTCTTTCTTTCTTTCTTTCTTTCTTTCTTTCTTTCTTTCTTTCTTTCTTTCTTTCTTTCCTTCCTTCCTTCCTTCCTTCCTTCCTTCCTTCCTTCCTTCCTTCCTTCCTTCTTTCCTTCTTTCCTTCCTTTCTCTTCCCTTCTTCCCTTCCCTTCTCTTTCTTTCTTTCTTTCTTTCTTTCTTTCTTTCTTTCTTTCTTT